TCTATAATCTGTTTAATATATAATAACTATATATGATACATACACACAACACTAATCTATACAAAATAATAATTCTGTAATAAAATAAAATAAATAACAATAAAATAACATGATGCTTTTTGTTATTAAATCATGTTTTTGTTTTGTTTTTGTTTTTATTATGTTTTTAAGAATCGTTTTAACTTTGTTATTATAGTTTAATTTAGTTTTAAGGGGTGGGAGGATTAGGGTGTGGGATATAGGAATTTTACATTGTCTCTTGTTTTTAAATTATGCTGTACGCCGCCCCGACTGCTGAGCAGAGGGGCAGCTTAGAAATAAAACTTCTTCTTCTTCTTCTTCTTCTTATTATTATTATTATTATTATTATTATTATTATTATTATTATGGAACACAACAGGAAAATCCAATATGTAATTGTTGCAACATATTAACAATGAGATCTATGTCTACTCAAGTCAGTGAACATATGGTGCATCAGCCTATACACAAGTGCAATCCAATACCCTTTGGATTGTAGTGTAGAAGCTGTGTATTTGCTCAAAGCCAACCAGTTTCTGCTGCATGTGTTAAGACTTTACTGTAAGTGTCTCCATGATGTCAGACAAATGCTACATGACATTGACCTGCTTTAGTGGGAGGTTGTCAAACATTTAGTACTTTTGCTAGCTCCTTTAACCGAAACAGCCAACTTGGCTGTGTGTGTGGATTATCCAGATACTATCACTGCTATCTTGAATCTTCATGCAGAATGCCAGAATCAGAGATATCTCCTATTGCCACTAACACCTCAAGAGGACTTCATGTTACTGTCCCTTGGAAAGGTCCCACCAGGCTCTATTAATTGCTAAATGGTTTCAGAAATCTCTACATAACTAATACATTACTAGGACAGTAATAAGGATCCTCATACAAAATAAAAAAGATGCATCAATATCCCAGAAGACTGGCTTAAACTGCTGCCCTTTTCTTTCAAAAAGAAGTCTTAGTACAGATCACATTGTCATTTATGCTCAGTGACTCAACACAGCAAAAATGTTACAAATTAATCTTCAGTAAATCAGTTAGAGTGATAGGCAGATAGGCAAACACACAGATCTTGTGTGCATATCACATAGCATGTATATGCATGTGAGTGTTCTCATTGTAGCTGGTGCACAGTAAGTTGTTCTACTAGCAAACTGGAGGAGCAGCTCAATTTATTCTGATAAAAATGTTTAGTAACATGTTGCAAACCCTAAACCACCTCCATGCACATCATTTCTTTTCTTTCTATCCCCCCCCCAGATTAAATT